TTGCTATCCACCCCCCTTTTATAGTAGCCAGCATAATAGATACAAAGTGGTAACTGATTTTGGTTTCGATTTGCATTCCCCTAATGATTAATAATGTTGAGCATCTTTTCATGTGTTGTTGGTTATTTGTATATCTTCTTTGGGGAATGCAGGGGGAGGGGCAAAGGGAAAGGGAAAAGCAGATTCCCCACTGAGGGAGCCCAGTATGGAGCTTAATCCCAGGACCTTGGGATCATGACCTGAGCTGAAGGCAGCCACTTAACCAACAGAGCCACCCAGGCGCCCCTATTTAAGCGCATTGTGCTACTTTTTAATCAGGTTAATTTTTGGTTGTTGCTGTTGTTGAGTGTAGGATTTCTTTATATATTCCAGATATTAACTCTTTAGCAGATACTGGATTGGCAAATATTTCCTCCCATTTCATGAGTTGTCTCTTCACTCTGTTGATTGTGTCCCTTGATGCACAGAAATTTTATATTTTATGTAGTCCGGTTTATCTTTTTTTTTTTTTTTTTTGTCTGTGGTTTTGGTGTCATATTCAAGAAATTATTGCCAAATCCAACATCATGAAGATTTTCCCCTATGTTTTCTTCTAAGACTATAATTTCAGGTCTTATGTTTAGTTCTTCCATGCATTTTGAATGACCTTTTGTATATGGGGTAAGGTAAAGGTTTATCTTCATTCTTTTGCATGTGGAGATCCTGTTTTCCCAACAACATTTGTTGAAAAGATGAGCTTTCCCCCATTGAATGATGTTGGTATCCTTGCTGAAAATCATTTGACCATATGTTTGAGGGTTTATTTCTGGACTCTGTTCTATTCCATTGGTGTATATGTCTATCTTACGCCAGTTGGCACACTGTTTTAATCACTATAGCTTTGTAATACATTTTGAAACAAGAAAGTGTAAGATCTCCAATTTTGTTATTTTTCTTTTTTTTTTAAAGATTTTATTTTATTTGGGGCGCCTGGGTGGCTCAATGGGTTAAAGCCTCTGCCTTCGACTCGGGTCGTGATCCCAGGGTCCTGGGATTGAGCCCCGCATCAGGCTCTCTGCTCCGCGGGGAGCCTGCTTCTCCCTCTTTCGTTGCCTGCCTCTCTGCCCACTTGTGATCTCTGTCAAATGAATAAATAAAATATTTTTTAAAAAAGATTTTATTTTATTTATTTGTCAGAGAGAGAGATAGAGAGAGAGAGAGACATAAGTAAGATAGTATAAGAGAGTATAAGCAGGGGGAGCAGCAGGCAGAGGGAGAAGCAGACTCCCTGCTGAGCAAGGATCCCAATGCAGGACTTGATCCCGGGACCATGACCTGAGCTGAAGGCAGATGCTTAACAGACTGAGCACCCCCCAGGCATCCCTAATCTTGTTCTTTTTCAAAATAATTTTGGGTATTCAGGGTTCATTGAGATTCCATACAAATTATAGGATAGATTATCATACTTCTGCAAAAATCACTGTTGGGCTTTAGGTGGATTTGGGTAGTATCAACATCTGAACAATATTAATTCTTCCAACTCATAAACACGGGCATCTTCCTTAAACCTTTCTTTCAGCAATGTTTTATAGTTTTCAGTTTATGAGCCCTTTGTCTCCTTGGTTCAGCTTATTCCTAAATATTTTATTATTTTTGATGTTATTGTAAATGGAATTGTTTTTCTTAATTTCATTTTCATATTGCTCATTGTTAGCATATGGAAACAACTGATTTTCATTTGTCAATTTTGATTCCTACAACTTTGTTGAATTCCTTTATTAGCTCTAATGGGTTGTTTTTGTGGAATCTTTAGGGCTTTCTACATAGAAGATCATGTCATCTTTGAACAAAGGTGATTTTACTGGGGCACCTGGGTGGTGCAGTTGGCTACGTGTCTGACTCTTGGTTTCAGCTCAGGTCATAATCTCAAGGTGGTGAAATTGAGCCCTGCGTCAGGCTCCACACTCAGTGAGCAGTCTGCTTGAGATTCTCTCCCTCTCCCTTGGCCCCTTCCCCTTCTCTCTCTCTTTAAAATAAATAAGTAAATCTTAAAAAAAAAAAAAAAGATAATTTTAGGGGCACCTGGGTGGCTCAGTCATTAAGCGGCTGCCTTCAGCTTAGGTCATGATCCCAGGGTCCTGGGATCGAGCCCCACATGGGGTTCCCTGTTTAGCGGGGAGCCTGCTTCTCCCACTCCCCTACCCCTGCTTGTGTTCCCTCTCTCACTGTGTCTCTCTCTGTCAAATAAGTAAATTAAATCTTTTTTTATTTTTATTTTTATTTATTTATTTTTTTAAAATTTATTTGACAGACAGAGATCACAAGTAGGCAGAGAGGCAGGCAGAGAGAGGGGGAAGCAGGCTCCCTGCTGAGCAGAGAGCCTGACGCGGGGCTCGATCCTAGGACCCTGGGATCATGACCTGAGCCGAAAGCAGAGGCTTTAACCCACTGAGCCACCCAGGTACCCCAAATCTTTTTTTAAAAAAAGATAATTTTACTTCTTCCTTTCCAATTTGGGTGGCTTCTTCCCCCCCCCCCCCCCAATTTGGACAACTCTCAATTTTTCTTTTGCCTTACTGCTCTGGCTAGGACTTCCAGTACTATGTTAAATAGAAGTGGCAATAGCAGGCATTCTCATCATTTTCACGATGTTAGAGGAAAAGCTTTCAGTCTTTCATCATTAGATGTTAGGTATTGGTATTTTTCTTTTTTAAATGAGATTAATCAACAAATACCATTAAAGCAGGGATGTACATGGGACTCTCCAGAAGGTCCTTCCAGGATTTGCTAGTTCCCTACAGAGAAAAACAACCATGGGCTTCTCTTTCTTTGTGTAAGAAAAGGAGGGTGGCTGGGCTTGGCTTACAGGGTTGTAGTAATGGATGGTAATGTGTAAAAGGAAAAAAACAGTATTTCATAGGCAGATAGACCACCAGCTGAGAACTGTTGAGTGTTTTTTGACAGAAGAAGAGTCTTTAGTATGGGGAACCATATAGTTAGCAGAAACCTTAGAACTAAATCAAGGGAAAGTTTCACATAGTCTGCTATTGTTTCTATAGCTATTAGACAAGGTAGATATGCCTTGGCTATTGGATCTAAGGAAAAACTGACATAAGCAGTAGGTGTCTGATGATCCCCATGTAATTGACTGGTACCCCTAAGGCTTGCTCTGATGTTTCATGAGCAAAAAGGACAGATATCTGTGAATCTAAAATCCTGGAAACAGATCCTTTCATAGATAGTTATCCTACCGGTCTTTGTGCTTCAAAATGATTACGCTTTTTTTAAACTGAAAAGTATATCATCATTGACATATTTATATTAACTTATACTTGACTCATGCGTAAATAATTTAGGAAGAAAGCCTCTTTTTGATTTAGTAACTTTTTAAAAAAAATTATGCAGGTATTTTGGTCTTCTACATTCTTAATTTTTCAGAGAATTTTGAAATGTGAAAATTTCATAGAATTCCAGATAAACTTAATTAGTCCCATTGTTCCTCATTTTATAAAGTAAAGAAGATCTCTGTGTTACCTAATAGCCATTTTAGAAAATCCGAAGATAGTTTATGCATAAAAAATAGCCTAATAATGTTATTCGTCTAAGTTTGAGGCCTGAATTTAGGAAGGGCAAAGAATAGTTGTAGAGGGAACAATATATAAGAAACAAATATCTAAAGAAAAATATTTGTAGGCAATGTAAAAAGACATAGCAATGAGCAACAATGGTTATTAGGAGCTTAACTTTTTTCAAAACTAAGGACTCCTTTCAAAAATAACCAAGGAGCACCTGGGTAGCTCAGTCGTTAAGCGTCTGCCTTCAGCTCAGGTCATGATCCTGTGTCCTGGGATTGAGCCCCACATTAGGCTCCCTGCTCAGAGGGAAGCCTGCTTCTCTTTCTCCCATTCCCCCTACTTGTATTCCCGCTCTCACTGTCTCTCTCTATCTGTGTCAAATAAATAAATAAAATCTTAAAAAAAAAAAAAAACCAAGAGTATATCTAAAAAGCACCAAAGAATCCTAAAACTTTTATGACATCACAAAAGACCCCCAGTAGCCAAAGCAATGAGGAAGAGGAACAAAGTGGGAGGTATCACAATTCCAGATTTCAAGCTATACTACAAAGTTATAGTAATCAAAAGAATATGATGCTGGCACAAAAATAGACACATAAATCAATGGAACAAAAAAGACTCTAGAAATTAACCCACACTTATATGGTCAATTAATCTACAACAAAGGCGGCAAGAATATACAACAGGGAAAAGAAGTCTCTTTGGTTAATGGTGCTGGGGGAACTGGACAACTACATGCAGAACTGGACTGCTGCCTTACATCATACACAAAAATAAACTCAAAATGGATTAAAGGCTTAAATGTGAGACCTGAAACCACAAAATTTCTTAAAAAAACACATAAGGAGTAATCTTTTAGACATCAGCCTTAGCAACATTTTTCTAGATATGTCTCTTTGAGCAAGGAGAACAGAGGCAAAAATAATCTATTGAGACTACACTAAAATAAAAAGCTTTAGCATAGCAGAGGAACCTATCAACAAAACAAAAAGGTGGGATACATGGGTGGCTCAGATCGTGATCTCCAGTCCTGGGATGGAGCCCCACATCAGGCTTCCAGCTCAGTGGGGAGTCTGTTTCTCCCCCTCCCTCTGTCTCTCCCCTTGCTTATGCTCTCTCTGTCTCTCTTTCTCAAATGAATGAATAAAATCTTAAAAAAAAAAAAGGGCAACCTACTAAATACAAGAAGACATTTGTAAATGACATATCCAATAAGGGGATCGTTTTCTGAAATATATAAAGAACTTACACAACACCAAAAAACACAATCTGATTTTAAAATGGGCAGAGGATCAGAACAGACATTTTTCCAAAGAAGACACATAGATGGCCAACAGATACATGAAAAGATGCTCAACATCACTAATCATCAGGGAAATGTAAATCAAAACCACAATGAGATATCACACCATACTGGTCAGAATGGCTAGTATCAAAAAGAAAAGGAAAAAAACAAGTGTTGGCAAGGATGTGGAGAAGAGAGAACCCGGGTGTCCAGTCATTGCAAATGTAAACTGGAGCAGTCACTGTGGAAAACAGTATGGAGGCCCTCAAAAAATCAAGAATAGAAATAGTACATAATCCAGGAACTCCACTACTGAGTATTTACTCAAAGAAAATGAAAATACTATTTCAAAAAGATACATGTACCCCTATGTTTATTGAAGCATTATTTTTTAAAGATATTTTATTTATTTATTTGACAGAGAGAGAGAGATCACAAGTAGGCAGAGAGGCAGGCAGAGAGAGAGGGGGAAGCAGGCTCCCTGCCAAGCAGGGAGCCCGATGCAGGGCCTGATCCCAGAACCCTGAGATCATGACCTGATCTGAAGGCAGAAGCTTAACCCACTGAGCCACGCAGGTGCCCCTGAAGCATTATTTACAATAGCCAAGATATGGAAACAACCCAAGTGTCCTTTGGATAAATAGATTAAGATTTGGCACATATATACAATGGAATATTGGCCATGAAAAGGAAAGAAATCCTGCCATTTGTGACAAGCATGGGCCTTAAAGGTATTAGGCTAAGTGAAATAAGTTAGAGAAAGAGAAATACCATATGATTTCACTTATATGTGGAATCTAAACAAACAAACAAACAAACAAACAAACAACCACCTCACAGAAACAGAACAGATTGGTGGTTGAAAGAGGCAGGGGGTTGGGGTGGGGGAAATGAGTACAAACCTCCAATTACAAGATAAATAAGTTCTGAGATATAATGTACAACATGGTGACTATTTAAAAACAATTTGGATAAATAATATATGAAAACTATGATAATTTACTTAACTTTAAAAATCAATACAAAAGGGGTGCCTAGGTGGCACAGTCAGTTAAGCTCCAACTCTTTTTTTTTTTTTTTTAGATTTATTTATTTATTCTAAACAGAGAGAGAAGGAGCGCAAGCAGGAAGGGCAGAGGGTGAGGGAGAGAAAAATCCCAAGCAAAGCACAGAGCCTGGCCTGGGGCTCAATCCCAACAACCCTGAGATCACAACCCAGCTAAAACCAAGAGTTGGAAGCCCAACTGACTGTACCACTCAGGCACCCCTAAGTGTCTGACTCTTGATCTCAGCTCAGGACTTGAGCTGAGGGCCATGAGTTCAAGTCCTGCCTTGGGCTCCATCCTCAGTATGGAGCCTAGTTAAAAAAATCAACATAAAAAATAAGAAGGCTTAAATCATGAGAAAACTAACCCCGATCTTACACCAATCAAAATATTGTGTTGGTATTATTTATATATGGCAAATTAAAATTTAAAGACATTGGATTATGCCAAAAACTCTAGAACTAAGGCCTTTTTGGGGCACCTGGGTGGCTCAGTGGGTTAAGGTTCTGCCTTCAGCTCAGGTCATCATCTCAGGGTCCTTGGATCGGGCCCCGCATCTGGCTCTCTGCTCGGTGGGGAGCCTGCTTTTCCCTCTCTGCCTGCCTCTCTGCCAACTTGTGATCTCTGTCTGTCAAATAAATAAATAAAATCTTAAAAAAAAAAGAACTAAGGCCTTTTCTTATCTAGCACTATAATAACAAAGCCCATTACATAAACATACTTTTCACTGCCCACAAAGGAAACATACATGGTTTAACAATTCATTTAGATATGTTTGACTATTTAACTATACTAGATATTCTCAGAGTGTACACATTCAACAGAATAATTTTTTGATTAGTTAATCTTTAAAGTTTTCCAAGAGAAGAAAATGAACAGCAAAAAGAAGTGAGAGGGAGTTACTTCAGATAATTATAAAATTATCACTCTAAAATGCTAATCCATGTTTCTCCTGCAAGGAGAAGGAAAACAGTTTAAATGTAGAGAAACACATTTTGTTTACCTTTTGGGGAGTAGGAGCAGAGGGAGAGGCAGAGAGAGAATCTTAAGCAGTCTCCATACCCAAGGCCAAACCTGATGTTCCATCTCACCACACTGAGATCATGACCTGGGCTGAAATCAAGAGTCAGACGCTTAACTGACTGAGCCACCCAAGTGCCCCCCAAAACACATTTTGACATATACATATACACATAAAGAAGCTCCAGTCTGCTTAAAAAAATAAGTTAGGAACTTGGCAATTTAATAGAGCTATACAATTAAAAAGTCAGCATTTATTCATCTCCAAAGTACGGAAATGAAATAATCACCCATGTTAAACAAAATAATCTCTCCCCCTTTCTTTTTCTTTTCTTTCTTTTTTTTTTTTTTAAAGATTTTATTTATTTATTTGACACAGAGAGAGAGAGTACAAGTAGGCAGAGAGGCAGGCAGAGAGAGGGGGAAAGCAGGCTCCGCGCGGAGCAGAGAGCCTGATGGGGGGCTCGATCCCAGGACCCTGAGATCATGACCCGAGCCGAAGGCAGAGGCTTAACCCACTGAGCCACCCAGGCACCCCCTTTTTCTTTTTTAAAAAGATTTTATTTATTTATTTATCTCTAAGAGAAAGAGAGAGAGAGAGAGGGCACGAGCAGGGGAGGGACAGAGGGAGAATCAGTCTCCCTACTGAGCAAAGAGACTGATGTGAGACTTGATCCCAGGGCCCTAGGATCATGATCTGAGCCAAAGGCAGACACTCAACTTATTGAGCCACCCAGGCATCCCCCCCACCTTTTTTTTTTCCTTAAAGTAGGCTCCACATGGGATACCTGGGTGGCTCAGTCAGTTAAACATCTGTCTTTGGCTCAGGTCACGATCGCAGGGTCCTAGGATCCAGCCCCACATAGGGCTCCCTGCTCAGTGGGGAGCCTGTTTCTTCCTCTCCCTTTGCTCCTCCCCATGCTTGTTTTCTCGCTCTCTCTCCCTCCCTCTCTTTCTTTCTCTCATAAATAAATAAAATCTTAAAAAAAAAAAAAAAAAACAGAAAAATATTGACTGGTTAAAAAAAAAAAGTAGGCTCCACACCCAATGTGGGGCTTAAACTCACAACCTTGAGATCAAGAGTAGCACCTTCCACCAACTGACCCAGCCAGGTACCCCATAAAATAATCTCTCTCTCTCTTTTTTTTTTAAAAAGATTTTATTTATTTATTTGACAGACAGAGATCACAAGTAGGCAGAGAGGCAGGCAGGGAGAGAGGAGGAAGGAGGCTCCTTGCTGAGCAGGGAGCCGGATGCGGGACTCGATCCCAGGATTCTGGGATCATGACCTGAGCCGAAGGCAGAGGCTTTAACCCACTGAGCCACCCAGGCGCCCTAATAATCTCTCTTTTTAACAAACAAGGCAAATAATCTCTTCATGGGGGTTTCTTCCTTTTTTTGTTGTTGTTTTTTTTTGTTTTGTTTTGTTCTGAGGTACCTCTCGAATAAACAGTCTTGTTAGGGGCCACTGCAGTTCTAACCTGTCCCTAGTGAGATGGTGTCAGAAAGGTAAGGGTACAAGTTAGTGTAATTGTGAGAAGGAAGCAGAAATTTGGCCCAGTTTTCATTGAGACAAGGATCCATAAGGATGGTGCTGTGCAGCCCTGTATCTGCAGAACTTGGCCAAAGGCCAATTATCATTGACAGGGGCCAGAAAAAAATGTCCTGATTCTGGGCAGAAGAAATGAAACTAAGCAGTTCCCAGGGACACAGACAAAATTAAGGAAGAAGTCCTTATAGCAATTTAAAAGGGCAATCTGAGGGGCGCCTGGGTGGATCAGTCGGTTAAGCATCTGCCTTAGGCTCAGGTCATGATCCCAGTGTCCTGGCATCAAGCCTCAGCAGGGAATCTGCTTCTAACTTCTTCCTCTCCCCTTCTCCCCTTCCCCCCCACCTCAGTGTGTGCTCTCTATTTCTCTCTCAAATAAATAAAATCATAAATAAAATCATAGATAAATAAATAAAATAGCAATCTGAGGCAAAGTTTATCCAAAAGACACTGGTCTGAGGATACCTTTTAAATCCCATAGCCTCTAAGGCTAGTTATAGTACAGACTTATTGGACACTGGTTGATAGGGTGATTTTCTGGTTTATCCTGGTAACAAATGACACTCAAGCATGCTAACTGGTTATATGACCCCTAAGTGGTTGCCATCTCCAGCTTCTCAGAGGGACAATCACTAGAGTTTGAGCAGTAACAGATTTGTGATACCCTTAGACACCCAGGGCTGCACACCACACCTGTCCTTTCCCTAGAAATGCCTTCTCTTACAGACAAATGGCATTCAAAGCACTGAACAAGAGGACAGATCAGAGGAGCAGGTGTAAAAAGCCAGAAAACAATTTTACTAAGGAAAAATAAAAATCTAATTGGAAAACCATAAACCCAAAGGGGACCTTATTGTAAGGAAAACAAAATAATCCCAACACCGAAGGGTCTTAACAAAATATCAGAGCTCACATATAGTGAGAACTTACCTCCCAGCCATGGGCAGGATGGCAACTCAAAACAGTTAGACATACAAAAGGTTCTCAGACGTGCACATTATTACTAGAGTTGAGGGTCCCGGTCCAACGTAGTGAGGGCTTCAGCTGAATCTCTGTGGATTCTCCATTTCTGGCCCTCCAGCCAAAGATCAGTGGGAGCCCACCTGTAGTTGAACAAGGGAAATGGCACAGCATGGGGAACCCATCATGGACATCTCAGCAAGAATGTGGCCTTACCATAGGATTTGCACTTGTGTTAGATGATTTTCGGGGAGGGCTTGAGAAGGGAGATTTGCTCTAGGTTGGATATTGTTAGGAAGTGGGAATAATTCTTTTTAGTTATCTTAATAATTTTAATCTAGAAATTAGGAGGAATCGACCAGGGATTAAAGCTGTTCTTGCATAAAGAAGCAGCAGTTACTCAAACTGTGGGGGTAGAGGTTATGTTTGGTCATTTTTGTGGTTTGGGCAATGTTCTTGTTTTTGTGTTCAGACATGATTATGAAATGGTCTTTCTCTCAATCCATCAGAGAGCGCCTTTGTCTGGTGTTGGTGTTCTGTGAACTTGTTGATGCTCAACAGGATAACACCATAGCCTAGCTGATTGTGCCAGGCCGGCTCCTAGCATTACCAATGCTTCCAGAGGGAGTGTAAACTAGCTCCCAGCAGTCATGGGAGGGAGCTAGTCATGCTTTTCTCTTTTTCACCAGTTACACTTGAAAAATCAGAATTGGGAACCCCTTTTGGTAAAACATGAGCTCTCTGGGTCACCACAGGCCCCGTTACTCCCCAGTATCTTATAATATCCCACCCCACTCATTTGCACTCCTAACTACCCCCTGGCATTGAAATCTGTGCCCCTCACTAAGCAAAATACAAACCAAGCCCAGAGAAAGTTGACTTGCCGAGGATCACCCAGTGAGCTGGTGGCAGGTTGGAAATTATAACTCTATTTAAATTTTCCTTCCAGCGGGGCGCCTGGGTGGCTCAGTGGGTTAAAGCCTCTGCCTTCAGCTCAGGTCATGATCTCAGGTCATGATCTCAGGTCCTGGGATCAAGTCCCTACATCGGGCTCTCTGCTCAGCAGGGAGCCTGCTTCGCCCCCTCTCTCTGCCTTCCTCTCTGCCTACTTGTGATCTCTGTCAAATAAATAAACAAAATCTTTTTTAAAAAATTTCCTTCCAGCAAACCCCACACTAGACATTAAGATCCTGTTACATTTCTGAGTATAGCTTCTCAACGGAATGTAGATCCAGTCAGATAAAACACTTCCCAGCACACTTTCTGGTCAATAACGTGTTCCTATCTTACTCCCCCCACTCCACCCCCGGGACTGGGTGTCTCGCGATCTTAGCTAGGATTCTAAGACCTTTGCTCGGCACGCTGCAGCCATCCGTGTGATTCATTCTGCTCCTCAGAACCACCAGGCGTGTTGCTGCCTGGGGTCTGTGTGTGCGCCCTTCCCTCTGCCTGGAGCCCTCCTTCACACCTCCACATGGCCCAGTCTTCTCAGCTTCAGCTCTGCATCACCTCCTCAGGGACGCCCTCCCTGACGACCTTACCTACTCACACCCTGCATGCCCTAGCACTACTGTCATCTCCTCTAGGAGGCTCCCTCACTTTAGCCTCTTGTACACGTCTCCCCTGGTGCTTTGTTCCAAGCTCTCCTCAGTCTGTCAAAAGCGCAGAGATGGGAGGCGGGAAACCTCGGCCTTCACACCCGCGAAGCCCTCTGAGAGCAAAGACCCAACCAACCACCCGGCGGAGACCTCGCTTTCCACAACAAGCCGTGGCGGGGCGCGTCCTGCAACCAGGGTCTGGGACTCGCAGTAGGAGCGCACCTCGCGGCCACCTCACCCAGCCAAAGGCGGCGTGCTACCTCTCAACGGGCCCAAGGCCACCACGCATGCTCCGCACCGCCGGCGTGCGAGGGTGGGGGCGGGTCCTTGGCGCGCCTGCGCAGCTGCTCGGCCCGGGCTTCCGGGCTGCTCCGGCGCGATGGGGCTAGGAGCCAGTGCGGCTGGGTAGCGGCGGCGTGTGGGCGTGCGGGCCGGGCGGTCTGGCTCGAGGGCTCCGGTCTCGGGGCCTTTGGGAGCCGCCGGAGGGCGCGGGGAGAGCTTAGCGTCCCCGTCCGCCGCCACTCCTTGGCATGTCGGCCGAGGCCTCGGGCCCGGCGGTAGCCGAGGCCCCATCCCTGGAAGCCCCTAAGCCCTCGGGTCTCGAGACTGGCTCCGCCGGTTACGGTCTGAAGCCCCTGACCCCGAACAGCAAGTACGTGAAGCTGAACGTGGGCGGCTCGCTGCACTACACCACGCTTCGCACCCTCACGGGACAGGACACCATGCTCAAGGCCATGTTCAGCGGCCGCGCGGAGGTGCTCACGGACGCGGGAGGTACGCCGCGCCGCCCTTACTGTGTGGTCCCTTATCCTCCAGATTCCCGTCTGCCTTCCCTTGCCCAGTCTCCCCATACTCCCTTCTCTCGTATCTCTACCGTCCAGTCAACTCATTTCACCCCCCTCCTGCCCCACGTCCAGTCTCATCTCCCCTTTCTCATTCATAACCCCGCTCCGCTCAGTCCTTCACCCCTAGCAATAACTAGCGTCTATGGAACATCACACGCCCCCCTCCAGTAGGCGCTGTGGTAAGTAATTAAACATGTCGCTTCAGAATTTTTGTTACCGGCCCCTCCAATTCTCCCACCCTTTATTCCTCAGCTCAGACGACTTGGGAACCAGCCCTGATGTCAGCAGCACCCTTCCAGGCAACCTTCACGTACCTTCCAACTGCCCAGCCTTAGGTTTGCCTCTCTGCCTCAGCACTGCTAACCGCCAGCCTGGAGCAGTTGTCTGGCTCTGTGTTCCTCTAACAGTTCCCTGTACGCTCACTCCAGGGATCCACCTGTAAATGCAGATTGTAGGAAAAGGCTGTTTTGGGGTTTGCCATGGACACCAGAGAGGAGGGTGGACAGTTCTCTTTGGCAGGTGAACCTTACCTAAGTGGAGTGTTGCCTTCAGGGATGGGACCCAGATGCCCAGGCAGAACTGTAAAATTTGTGAGAAGGTGGGGGAAGGTATTCAGAGGGGGTATAACAAGTATTGTAAGAGCAAGAAAATTAAAGTTCTTGGGGAGATGGAGTTCAGTCTTCAAATATCTGAAGTTTCGGAAGTAATTTATTTATTCAGCAAGTATTTGTAAAGCACCAGAGCTGCTTTGGTAAATGAATCAGACAGGGTAAGTCTTACGGACTTTACTTTTTTGTGGGGGCAGAAGGAAAATAATAACCAAATACACATACAAAAAATACATGTAATTGCAGATAATAATAAGTTCTAAGAATTATATAAAGGTTAAAATGGTGGGGTAGATATTTTAATTAAATAGGATGGTCAGGATTAACACTAAAGGTTCAAGTTTGTTGATAAGGTAATCTATAATCATTTTCTTGTGGTGGGAACTTTTTTTCAATGTAGAAGAGAGTTGGAAGGGATTAAATTCTCTACAAATGTTTAAAAAGGGTCTATGGGAGAACTCACTGGAGATGTTTCAAAGGGATTTTCTTGGACATGGCAGAGGTTTGAGACAGATCAGTATTCAGATTTGTAACTTTGGAATCTGTTTTTCCTAAGAATTTAGTAGCTCCAAGGCCCCCCGCAAAGTCATCCTTCCTCCTGCCTCTCTCCATTCCACCAGGTTGGGTGCTGATTGACCGGAGCGGCCGCCACTTTGGTACAATCCTCAACTACCTGCGGGATGGGTCCGTGCCACTACCTGAGAGTACCAGAGAACTGGGGGAGCTACTAGGTGAAGCACGCTACTACCTGGTACAGGGCCTGATTGAGGACTGCCAGCTAGCATTGCAGGTGAGGGGCCCTGAATCCCACCTTATGCCCATGTCTCTGGAGAGCTGCCCAAGCAGTTAGATACTGGGACATTAAAAAATAGAAGGGAGGCAGCATATGGGGTAGTGTCTGCAGAGGCTGCCTATGGCCTGGCTGTGACTAGCCATGACCACAGAGAATTAGGGGGTGCTTTCCTGTGTGTCCCTGCTGCCTCAAGAAGGACCTCCCTTACCACCTCATGCTAGGACAGTTGCAGTAGTTAAATGACTACTCTCTCTTTGCTCTTCCCCGGCTAATCTGGCGTTCACACTACCACCCGAGTGATGATCCTTAAACACAATGGCAATCTCTTCTCCCCCTTGCTCAGAAATCTTAAATAACTTCCTAGGAAAAAAATAATCTAAATTTAAATTAGAATATAATGACCTCACTGTTTTGGTCTTATCCTGGGAGACAGCATTCCACCCCCAGCTAGGCTTTGTTTTTGTGTTTTTAACTTTTTTTTTTTAGCAATGAAATCTTAGAAGCAGAGCTGCTCCCATTAAAACAGGTTGGGCGTTCCACAGCCCCAGCTGCTGGGCTTCTCTTCTGTGGATCTCTTAGGGTTCTGAGGAGAAGACTTAGAAGGCATAGCCAGGACCTGTGGGTTAAGCATCACCTCTACCACAGCTGAATTACCTTGATTGAGTCATTTCCTACTTCTGGCATTCTTTCCTCCTGTTCCAAAAGATGGGGAAACTAGAAATAGGTACAGTGTAATGAATTTTACATAAAGCCTTTTATTCTGTTTTTACAGTGTTAAGAATGTCCTTTCCTTTATGATACAATATTAATAGGAGATGAGAGTTTCTTTTTTTTTTTTTTTTTTTTTTTTTTTTAAGATTTTATTTATTTATTTGACAGACAGAGATCACAAGTAGATGGAGAGGCAGGCAGAGAGAGAGAGAGAGGGAAGCAGGCTCCCTGCTGAGCAGAGAGCCCGATGCGGGACTCGATCCCAGGACCCTGAGATCATGACCTGAGCCGAAGGCAGCGGCTTAACCCACTGAGCCACCCAGGCGCCCCATGAGAGTTTCTTTTTTGATGCCCTTTATATATTAAAAAGTGGCAACTATGAACAACTTTCTGTTGGCTTGGTGAATACTTACTGGTTCATGAAATTCAAAAGTACAGCGTTCCTTTGGGCAGTATCCATGTTTTTCAAACTGCATCCCATAGGGGAAAAAAATGCATTTTATACTCACATATATATAACTTAAGTAAGAGTTTTATAAAATGATACTTTTAGTGAAATACATGCTGGTATATTGTTTTCTTTATTTTGAATGCTCTTTGGGACCCACTAAACTTATTTCAGAACCCATGAATGGGTCACCACTTGCAGTTGGAAAACCGTGGAACTCGGTGATCTTCAAAGTGGGTTCCTGCTCTGTAGTTGTCATTTATCCAGCAGTATCTCCCACCTACTGTGGGAGATATTCTGGGAGTGATTCTGCTATCTGCTTGTGTGTACATCTTGTACCCGTGTTTGATACGTAGGCGGTGGGAGGTTGGGGATGTATCCAAGGTCAAAGAGCCAGCCAGTAAGCCGCAAAGCTCAGAGCCAGCCCCTGCTTATCTGACTCCCAGGTTCAGTGCTTTTCCCTCTGCTCCAGCTGCCTCCTTTCCAGGTTTCCTGACACCGTTCCCATCATCACCCCACTCAGAGCTGGCTTGTTCGTTTGGAGGTTTTGGTTTTTGCTTTTAAGATTCAGGTATACAGAATTAAGTTCATCCTCAGAGTGTGGTACTTAATCATCATTGGTCTCTACGAGTCTTCTCTCTTTTTATTTTTCCCCTTTCCTCCCAGCCCCTTGCCCGCTTCCCTTTTACCCATAGCTACCCCTCCAATTCTAATGTTTTGCTACATATACTTGGATTATGTTTGTACCCTTGAAAAGCTACGAACCTTGTTTTGTATATGTATTCATTTTCAATTTCTATAAATGGCATTGAGCTATGGATTGTGTGTTCTGTTTCTTAATTCAACACCTCTTTTGAGATATCTTCATGCCACTGTGT